GGGAAGACAGTTTATATGCTCGCAGCAATGCCATCGTACCAGTCATTGAGGTGGAAGATGACCAGGGACCATGGGTCTACCAGGTTTCTGACACGATGTTGGTAGAGAAAGTTCCGGAGGGGAAATACATTCCAAATCCAAAGATAACCGCCGCATCAATCATGGTAGCCTATGAGATGTTGAAAAATGGTTTTGTACTCGGTAAAGGTTTGGGCTCATTTTTGCAAGGCATCATACAGCCGGTGTGTCTTCCCGAAAACTTGGGAACATTTGGTTTGGGATTCAAGCCCACCGCCACAGACATAAGAAAGGCCAGAAAGCTAAAACAAAAGGCCTGGGTCCTTCCAAAGCCAGTCCCACGTCTTTCCAAATCATTTGTCAAGTCCGGTACCAGAAGTCGCCCGATAACAACAATTCCCAGTTCTATGATTAATCCTGACGAGGAGTTAATTGAAAGATTTGAAAATGTTTGATGGTGTGAACATGGTGGAAAGCGGTTAAAGATAAAATTGCACGTAGGTTCAAATTGTTCTAAATCAGATAATTAAGCCGGACATAACAGTAGAGCGACCATGCTAGAACCACGGAACTCGGGAATGCCTAACACCTTCTCTCGGGTTAACATAATTCCTTACCTGGATTTCTGGCTCGCGGACTGTAATACAGAGGTAATATTTTCCTCGATTCGGGATTCTAACCGGTGACTTGGGACACCATAAATTATCCCAAGTGGCGACTCTGAATTTAATGTAAGTAATCCCGTTTCGATTGTCCTTTAATTGGAAAAACTCCCTTACACTCCTTCCCGGGGGTGTAGGAAAAAGGAGGTGTGACAATAAGGTAAGGAAAATATTTGTTAATTAAATACAAAATATCCTAAGGTATGCTATAGAATATTCTATATGATTTTCCTTTTTAAATATAATGTGAATCTAGTAGTATGTGATAAGAATGGACCTTGGGTCTAACTCAACCCCAAAAGCTAGCTTGTGAGGTGAGGATTGCCCAAGACTATATAAGGAGGCTAAGATACCCATAACCCACCGATGTGGGACACAACTCAACACCCCCGCTCACGCCCAGGCATGCAACTGGAGCGTGAACAATATAAATGGGGCCCAACATCGGTAACAATAAATTGGGATTGGCCTGGCTCTGATACCATGATAAGAATGGACCTTGAGTCTAACTCAACCCCAAAAGCTAGCTTGTTAGGTGAGGATTGCCCAAGACCATATAAGGAGGCCAAGATACCCATAACCCACCGATGTGGGACACAACTCAACATGAATATAAACACATATTCACTTGATACTAATATAGCTCATCTATCTCTTGTGTTGGCTGGTTGCTTTTCTATTAGCATCCTTAGGTGCAGTAAGGATTCATAAGTAGTTGTTAACGGAGTAGAGTTACCAAATTCTGAGGACCTCTTTGTCAAAACTTTGTTAACCTGTGGTAGTCCAACCTTGGTACTCTCTGTCGTGTTATACATGGTGACTAGCATATGAATGTTATAAGCTGTAAGATCATAAATTGTGTTGGGCCTCACATTTGAAGAGAACATTTGTCAAGTTAGACTGTCAAGTTCATTTCTCTATTTATAAAAATGTTTTATGGTCAACACCACTAACTTGCTTATATGGATTATGGGTTTGTTCGTTCGTCCTTGTAAATGCTGCTTTTTGTTGATGCCACCTATAAAAGCTTAAATAGTTTAAAGCCACTGGTACCTGTTTAAAAGCGAATAGTTTAAGCCGCAGTTGTGTCTGTATAATATAACTGTGGTAAATTTGACACTATATGCACATCACAGGGAATTCCGGGAACATGTGAAGGACCTATCATCCATATCAAAGGATCTATGCCGGATTGTCATTGTTGATAACAACCCATTCAGTTTTTTGTTACAGCCTTTAAATGGGATTCCGTGCATTCCGTTTTCTCCTGGACAACCCGATGACGAGCAGGTATAAGAACTAAACGAAAAAAAAATTTAAAAATAAAAATAAAAGAGGGTATTCTCAAATTTTGGCTACTTTGATGCCACGAGTTTTGACTTGGCTTTCATTTTCTACATTAGCTTTTGGAAGTAATCCTTCCACTTCTCAAGCATCTCTCTGAGCAGAAGGATGTAAGGCCTATGCTCCACGAAAGGTTTCAAATGCCAGAATGGTTTCAAAACCATGGAATTCCCGCTTATCGATTTATGGAGTGACAAATATATGATGATCTCGGCAAGTGAAATTGTTGCTATTCAGGGAGACACCTATACTCTAATATGTTGTACAAGGTTAGTACTTCTTCGCCGGAAGAACGAATTTTTGTATAGCTTATTTGTGCAGAGGAGTAACCATCTAGAAGTCACAACTTCCTCATGTCTCACTTGATGTTCTCCACTCTTCATTGCACCCATATGTATTACTGTGGAAATCTTTTAAATTCTTGTGTAACTTTGTTTATAGCATCCGATGTCGGAAGATATTTGATCACCTATAATTATACCTTCACCAAAATTTATGTATAGATTTGATGTTTAGATACTCTTTTCAGTAATTAGAATTATTCTTTTTGTTGTCTATAGCATTATTCTTTTTGTTGTCTTGCATCACAAATCAATGAATCATTGTTATGATTATTTAACTTCTGTAATCCACTGGTCTTCAGTATTTTATCGGGCGATCCCTTGGGGCTCTAACACAACTAAAAGCGCATTGATTCTTTCTTTAGCTTTTATCATGATTTATCTTTAGAAATCCAAAGGATTAAACGAAAGGACGGACAAGGCTATGGATATGTTTGAAGCTTTGGGCTTCTATATAATGAATCTGGTTGATGGCAAGCCATGTGTTCTTGAAGCTTGAGGTACAAAACAAATAAAACTATTTCAAACACCTAATGCTTATTTATAAAACGTAGCCAACATGCATTCTTTTCGGAAAAATGACAATGTATAAACGTTGTAAAAATAATAGGCGAAAAATATATAAAATTTGTATAATTTTTGTATATATATATATTTTGTATGTTATATACAAAAATTATACACTTTTTCATCTTCCAGATGTAACAGTTTCTGGCGCAGGTTAAAAGCGATAATACCATCTTATGAATTTGATGCTTATCACTTATTTTCTATCAGTTAAGCTAAGTGGTCTTTTAATAATAGCAATCTTCCATAAGATCGAGGATGAATATCTGTCAGTCCACACTCTTAACTAGTTGGGTTACACGGATAAGAAATAACAATCCCGGATAAAATATGAGATCATGTTACTTCTGTTTAGTTGAATTTCTGATTCCAGTATAAGTAATCTCGTTATTATTTATACCATAATTTTGATATTATTTTTATACCGCATTCAATGTCGAATAATAGTCCAGAGATCCCGGGATAAATAGCAAAATGCCAAAGATGCAATTCTCCAAAGCTCTCCTCCCAAACTCCTTGAAGAAAGCCAATGTTAAAATTAAAAATAAAAGTTTATTCGGATTTATTTTGTATAGAATCGGATATACATTTTTATCTTATATTCTATTTTTAGTCCAATAAACTAAACATTTGCCAATCAAAATATATCCACTAAATAATCCTATTATTATTTAATCCTGTACTATATTTCAACATTATAATCACAACATACTTTATATTTTTAGATATGTTTGTTGTTAATTTACCATAATAATCTTCTTTTATCTTAATTTGGGACTGACTACCAAGCTTAGACATGTGAATGCAAAGTTTATCTATAACTTGAGAAAAAGTTCGTACGGTTATGAATAATTTGTAC